TTTTTTTTTTTTTTTTTTTTTTTGTCATCCGTGCGCAGGGCCCATACTAATCTTCACTGTATCGTTTTTTTTTTTCCCTTTCCTTTCTCTGGTACTCGATGGGGGCCAGGGGAAGTAGATGGGAGACGAAGCTACTGGCAAAATGCTCGGTCTTTGTGTTAGCCGGCCTCCCCCGTCGGCGGTCCCACCCTACTCCCTGACCACTGCGGATTAGGGTGGGGGGCAACATGCATCATCCCCTTGATTGTGAGAGGTAGCTATGCTTGGCTTAGGAGTAATATTGGTAGGTAGGTAGTGAGGAGTGAAACTTAGAGAAGATATATAGCTTAGTGTTTTTGTTGGGGGGGGGAGGGGGGACCAGGAGGGAGTCACAATAATGAGTTATAATTGCACTTGTTATAATTGCACTATGGGCCAAGATACAGTTTCGAATTTGGGCAAATGTATACAACCCAGCTCTCTGCCCAGGTGGGGTGCCCCAAGTGCAATTGCAAACTCGTTTTTTTTTTTTATAATTTTGTAACTCTACTGAAGTTTACCCCAAATTGTTTTTTGTTTTCTGCGTGAGGGCGGTTCAGCCACAAGGCAGGCACACAAAAGACCTCAGCTTTTTTTTGTTTTCTGAGCGTTTGTTCCCTTCACTGACAAAGATAAGAACAGAGAGACCCATAACCATACGTCGAGGGAAAAGCATAGGGTTTAAATGCTCCCGGAGGGCTCTTCCCCATCGCTGGGACGAGTCGCGCCGTCCTGTGATCCGAGCTTTCGGAGGTTGGGTGGTGAGGACTACTCCTCTCTTGCGGGAGCCTGGAGGTTCATGTTGATATCTCGTCCGCCTTGAGCTGGGATTCGCCTACACGCTCTCACCGGAAGGAGGGAATGTGCAGGCGTTAGAGCGCGGGGGAACGCGTTAGGCGGGAAACCGAGCAGCGAAGACCCTCCGATCGCGGCAGCAAGGGGATAGCGAGCTTGAGTGATGCCTTCAGATCACTGCCTCAAGTTCGAGTCGCAGGACCATCACCTTTTTGCCAATTTCTGCTTAAATTGGAAGCCCAGGACCACCACCTCTTTTTGTCGTTTTCTGCTGGATCCGATGCAAGAATGTCCCAACAGGGAAGACGCCCCCCGGATCACTCCTTAGGACATCGCCACACCACTCTCGAAATGTGGTGTGGCGAAGCCCTTAGTTGCAGGACCACCATCTTTTTGTAGTTTCTGCTCAAATTGAAGAAAGCGCAGGACCACCACCATTTTGTCGTTTTCTGCTGGACCCAATGCACAAGAATGTGTCATCTTCCCCAAGTACGAGTCGCAGAACCACCACTATTTTGTCGTTTTCTGTGTAGATCCAAGTCACGAATTTTCAAGAATTTGTCGTTCTATGGTGTATGCTGTCCAGACTCCTGTTGCCGCCTTTCTCTTTGTCGTTTAGTGCTGTGCCCTTTTGTTCGGGGCGCGCTCATCGCTTCTCTTGCCACCGGCTTTTGGGCCTCGCTCTATGCACAAAAGACAAAAATCATGGCAGGGTATGTTTCCATTCTCCAGCGGACGATTCAGGGCCTCGCTGCACTACTCTAGACTCTCGAAGTTTCGAGAGTGGGTCGTCTCTGCACTTACTCTCGATCGGGAAACTCTCAAAACCCGATCAAGAGCTGTCAGAAGGCAAGCTATAACGCCACTCTCGAAACGTTGAGAGTCGCCCACCTGCAAAACACGAATTTGCAAGTGTGCTCACGAGTTGCCCGCCGACCGGCTCGTTTTCTCGAGAGTGGACCTCCTGTCCCGGCGGCCAGAGCAGCCTGGCGTTGTCCTGTAGCGTAGTGGTACAGGTCTTCTGTCGAGTCCGACGACGCCCGGGGTTTCGAGAGTGCATCTAGTGTAACAGGTTCTACAGTAAGTGCGGCGACGGCGGGTATTTCTCGATTTATGCGTGTCATCCTTGCGCAGGGGCCATGCAATCTTCTCTGTATCGTTCAGTCTCACCTCTCTGGCAACACCAGTCTAACTCTCGAAATATTTTGAGAGTTTAGAGTAGTGCAGCGAGGCCCTCACTCTCTTTTTGCACTTCCTTTTTTCCTTAATACTCCTAAAGCGTGTAGCGGGTCTCGCGTAACGCTCCCACGAGACCCCGGTTGCCAGTGTTGGGAAACGTTACCTGGTGAGGGGCGGGCCCGCGGGGAACTCCTTAGTGTTTTCCAAAAAGGCGGGCGTTGGGGGGAGTCCGAATTTAGCGCAGGGGCTGGGGAAGATACACTCCCTTTTTTTTTTTCG